TTAGCCTTTGATCTGTCCCTTTTCGGCTTTGTTGGGAGACAACATCTACAACTTTGGTGAATTGTTAGCTCACCCTGTTGTAAGTTTGATTTTTAAGTGGTGATTTTGGTATTGTTTGTTTTCTTTTGGGTAGTTTTTATATGCTTGTTGGAATCTGATGGCCTCCTTAAGTTGGAATTAACATATACTTGCTGCTTCCTGTTTGACTAAACCTTATTACCTAAAAGTCATTTTATTATTTTATATTATTTGCCTTAGTAGCCAGGACATGGAGATTTATAAATTTTATCAACTATAGTTTGACCTAAAGAAAATTTTTATAAGATGGTGGTGAACCTGCAATGCTTTAGGGTGTAGAATGTTGGCTTATAAAAGATAAGCATAAAACTAAGTTAAATTTTGCTAAGATGAGAGTGCTTAGGTGGATGCGTGGCTTGACTTATAGAGACAAAATGTGAAACAAACATATTCGTGGAAAGGTAGCCCCAATGGCAGACAATATTAGGGAGAGCTGTCTTAGATGGTTTGGTCACATTAAACATCGACCATCTGATGATGCCGTTAGGAGAGTAGACGTGTTAGATTTGGCTTAAGTTAAGAAATGTAGAGGTAGACTTGGGCATGTATAAAAAATGATTTTAATTTATTAGAATTAAATGAAAATATGACACTCAATAGGACACACTGAAGAAAATGACCACTTAGTGGGATAAAGGCTTGTTGTTGTTCTTGTATTAATTATAGTTTGACTGTATACATTATGTTGGAAAATGTTTTGGATTTAGAATCTATAACATATTGAATACAAGGTATAGTGAAATAGATTTATTTGGGCATATGCAATGAAGCATGAAAAAAATTGTGAATAGATAATTAATGCAAAAAGAGCGAGAACAAAAAGAGGAGACCAAAGGGAATTTTGATAGAAGTTTTGCAAAAGGATTTGTGCCAAGTAGATTTAACACCTGAAATAACACTTGCAATTTTTAATGAATAATTGGGATTCATCAAGTCAACATCAAATAGTTGGTGGTAAGGATTTACAATGGTATCAATAATTATGATCTCTTGTGATAAACTAATTTTGTACCTCTCATTTACAATTTAACATGAATCTGCTATCCCACATTTAGACGCTGGTTCTTTTCTTTTATTTACTTTGACGGAGCTTGGCATTGCTGGCAATGCATCTAAAATTGCTAAGATCCTGTTCATCAACTTCTGATTGAGCCATACCATAGTTGGTTTTTCCGTGCCATTCTTTCATTATTAACTTGTTAGCAGTGCCATGTCTCTTTTGTGAATTAGCCTTAAAAGAAATATATGGCATCCAAGAGAGCTTTAGGATCCAAATGATGATGATGAGGCATAACTGAATTGGGGATGATTGGTGCCCGATGATGAGACATAATTGAATGGGAGATGGATTGTGCCCGAGATTATTGTGAGAACTCTATCCTGAATCCAAAAAGGCTTTGAAATCCAAAAACCATTAAAGCACTAAATTTGCCATACTTCGCATCAACCATGTTTTTTTTTTTGTTTTCTTCTTAAACATCAAAATTTCCAAGTTAATATCTGCAACTCAAGTACTGCTTCAATATAACCTCATGCTAAGTTGTGTCATGCCGGATAGGAACTTCTGAATTTTTTTCCAACGTGTACTTGTCCAAGTTTATAAATTTTGGCTGCTTTTGCAGATCAAAAGTCTTATAGGAACCAAAGCAGAGTGGATTTATCACATATTGCAAGCATTCAACAGTGGCAATTTGGGTCTCTATCATGAACTTTGTGGCGTTCATAATGCTGCTTTGAATGCACAGCCAGCACTTACGGCCAATGAAAAGAAGCTTTTGGAGAAAATAAATATACTATGTTTGATGGAAATTATCTTCAGGTATAATCTTTCAGACCATTTCAGAGTTTTTAAATTAACATGTACTGATAGATGACATCTCAGTGCTCCTTTTAGTGCGAGTATGTGTTCACCCAAATCTATTCTGTTTTTATGTTCCCACTGTTTTCATCAGTCGGCCTTCTGAAGACCGCACAATTCCTTTGAGCGTCATTGCTGATCGAACTAGACTTTCTATAGAAGACGTGGAATATCTTCTCATGAAGAGTTTATCCGTAAGTTTGTGATTCACTTCTTTCGAGTTTACATGAACTCTAATCTCTTTATATTATTTATTGGACTTGAATAAATTTCTTGGCATCACTCTGCTCTTCTGTTTTGTGTCTGTAGGTTCGTCTTATTGAAGGAATAATAGATCAAGTTGAAAGTAGAGTACATGTCTCTTGGGTGCAACCTAGAGTTCTGGGAATTCCACAGATCAAATCTCTTCGTGATCGTCTTGATAATTGGCTTGGAAAGGTGAGAACAACATTGCTGTCAGTGGAAGCTGAGACGCCCGATCTCATGGCTTCATGAGAAACGATCACATGCAATAATGTATCTCTTCATGTAACAATCTCTGGTGAAAAGGAGGGCAAAAACAGTAGGGAATGTTAATGTTGGGCTCTCCTGCTTCCAGGACATTATTTCCCTTTTACTTGGGGCACATTTTTTTTCTTAATCTTAAGATTGGTTTTAGGTTAAAAGGAACCTTTTGTATCCTTTACCAAATTCATGAACAACTTGTCTAAACTTGAAATATACGACTACAGATGCAGGAAGAGCAGACTAACTCCTACTTTTTGTTTGTGGATTAATTGCTGGCTAGCTGAGAATTCGTTTTTCAATTGTGTAGAAACTACCTTTTGTTTCAGATATGGAATTATTTGGCATGCAAGTGTTATGGAAGGAAACCGGTATATATGTTTTTTCTGTTTTTGTTAGTATTGGATCTGTTTTATTTCTTTTTTTTTTTTAAATATATAGTTTAGAAATAGCGAGAGCATGAATCAGGCTTTTGTAATGATCTGCTTTTATCTATGTATTTTAATGATTAATAAAGCTAAACTGTTTGTGGTTTTTTTTTTTTCCTTATTTCTGTTTCCGAAATAACAAGGTTTGCTGGTAGCACTGTTCTTTCTCGGGCACGTTTTCTGCACAAGTGAAAGTTGTGTTATTATATTTTTGAAAAATAAAGCACCTAAAAATTATCAAATAGGTCCTGAAGCAATTTACAATTTATACGTACTTTATTGAAAAGATTTTGAAACGTGAGCATTTTTTAATTTTTGCGTGCTTAGTATTTATACATTCAACAACTTAATGTTGCTATTTATATTTTTACATGTTAAATATTTCATGCCATATTAAAAATATCACTTTCGAAAGAAATATATTTTTTTTCCTACATAAGGTGGCGTAAGATGTAAAATATATAAGAATTTAGGACCCATTTGGGGCAGCTTATAAGTGGGGGCGTTTTTGAAATTGCAGCGGTACTGTTTGGATCACTAGGTTTGACCGTTTATCCAAAAATGCGTACATGTTTTACACTAAATGCAGACCATGAGTCGAACCCTATTGTCGACCCGGAAGACGTGTTTTTGTATGTAAATAAATTTTATATATTTTATAAGCTGCCCCAAACGTGCACACAATTGTATTTATATAAATCTTATATATTTTATAGGAGAAAAATTTTAATATAGAAGATAAATTTTATAGAAGTTACTGTCCAGGTTCCCTTCAATAAATTTTGTAGATGCGAGGATTGTGCGCGAAAGATAAATTGAGGTGGAAACCTAAGGGCCCGTTTGGGGCAGCTTATTTGTGCGTTCAACATTCTAAAAAAGCCGAGCGCACGTTTGTTTCACTCGTTGGCTTGGTGGTCCGAAATGACGCTACGGGTATCCTTTGCTAATTGCGGTTGCAGGATAGACCCCGCGGTTCGCATTCCAGTCGAACTTAATTACCTCAAGCCCGTTGATCCCGTCCCTGATCTTGTCTACCTTTCTCCTCTCCCGATCTCATTTGTGTTTTAGTCGTTCTCCCTTGTTTTCCCTCACCCGTATCTCACGTGATGCTCCGGCTTTATCCATAAGTTAATGCGTTTTGTTGATGCCTGTGTTGGATCTATGTATTGTAGCGATCTTTGATGGATTCGTTCATATGAGGTGTTATTTCATTCGTCACTGTGTTCGATTTTTTCGCCCTTGTGTTGGACTTATCGGCTTTGGTGATGCCTTGTTGAGGATTGATCTATTATTCTTATGTCAATCCATTATCATTATGTGTTGGATCTACCAGGTTTGGAGATGCACGTGCCCTCAGTTCTTCTACAAGTTCAGACCCCCAGTTCTTGTTTAGTTCAATATTTTAATTATAAATGTGATGGTTTTTACTTTAACTTTATTTACATTGCAATTTAGGTCTGTTGTAATGTTAAAATGTATTGAGAAACATAAGATCCAAAAAGCGCTATGCTTTCTACAACAAAGTAACAATCACATTCAATTTCGTGGATGAAAATGTAGTCCATGGGGTTGAGTGCAAATAAATAGGGAAATATACTTTGATGGACGTAGAATTGGAGATTTTAGGGTGATATACTAAAATCTCCAATTTGGTCTAGTTGCTTGAAAATTAAAGCGAGATGTTAGCACTCAGGGGAGGGAGAAGTGGGAGTACTAGAGTGAGAGCCAGTATCATCTCAGCATAACCACGGATTTAGGGACCAAACTCTGGACTAACAATTGTTCTTTATGCACTCGATAAATAGTAAATAATAGGATTGCTCCTATTTGACACATATAATACTTAATTTATCTCATTGATATACATTATCTTATTCACTACATAAGAATATTAGTTTTTAACGTCTCAAAATTCTCCAAACCAAATCATCCAGAAAGGGTTATCTTTAAAATTAATATTTTTATTTACGAGTAGTTATTGGTTGTTTTAAACATAAGAATTACATTTATGAGTACTTGTTAGAAAAATCACTTAAATCGATCTTCTGAACTAAGGATTGATAGTAGTAGACTAGAATTAACATAAGGGATATCTTACCTCACTTCTTTATGGGATTGATAGTGGGGGGTTTTAAAGAAAGTCATATATTACTTGAAGCGATAAGTACACTTGCGTGGAACCTCTAGTGTATGAACTATTTTATATATTTTTAAAACATTTCGATTTTGTACACTAACTACTTAACATAATTTGGGTCAAGTTTTTGTCATATTTTTTGAAGCTAAATTACTGGGTAATTTCGGGACGGAGCAAGTTTTTAACACTTTTTACTGAGGATTTAAATTGACATAAAACACGCAGAAAACAACACACATCAGGGGCGCATCAAGTTTTTGGCGCCGTTGCCGGGGACGCGACGGTAAGAACTTTTGGAGAATTTTAGTTTAATGTGTAAGACTTAGATTTGGATATTATAATATTATTATATAACGTGTTTAATTATTGTATGTTTATTTTCAAAATGTAAAATAGAAAAAATATTTTTGATATCTATTATATTAGTTAAGTCTTTAGATTTGTATGCGTAGATCAGGAGCTGTGATGGGCCACTGATGTGTGGTAATTTTCTGCGTGTTTTATGTCAATTTAAATCCTCGGTACAATGCCAAAAACTTGACCCATCCCCAAAGTAAGCAGTAATTTAGCTTCCAAAATATGACAAAAAACTTGACCCAATTTATATTTAGCGGTTAAAATCAAATTGTTATAAAATATATAAAATAGTTAACACACCAGAGGTTATACGCAAGTGCACATATCACTTTTCAAAACCCAGTATCGATCCCATAGAGAAGCAAGGTAAGAAATCTCTTAGGCTAATTCTATTATACTACTATCAGTCTTTAGTTTGGAAGGTTGAGTTAAGTGGTTTTTCTATCAAGTACTCCTAAATGTAAGTCTTAAGTTGAAAACAATGAAAATATTATTTTTAAAGATAACCCTTCATGAATGAATTGGTTTGAAGAATTTTGAGATGTTAAAAAAGTGAATTGGATAATGTATAGAAAAGAGATACATTAAATATTGTATGAGTCAAATAGAAGCAATTCTATTCTTTATCATCTGTCAAGTTCATAAAGAACAATGGCTAATCCAGAGTTTGTTCCCTAAATTTGTGGTTAGGCTGAGAGGATACAGGCTTCCACTCCAAAACTCCCACATCTCCCTCCACTGAGGGCTAACATCTCGCTTTAGTTTTCAAGCAACTCGACCAAAAAGGGGACTTTAGTCCGTCACCCTAAATCTCCAATTCTACGCCCATAAAAGTATATTTCTCTATTTATTTGCACTCAACCCCATGGACTACATTCTCATTTATGAAATTAAATGTGATTCTTACTTTGTTGTAAAAAGCATAGCCCTTTCAGATCTGTATTTCTCAACAAATTTAACATTACGACATGCCTAAATTGTAATGTAAATGAAGTTCAAGTATAAACCATCACATTTATAATTAAATCACATACTAACATGCATCCCAAAATCCTACATATGAATCTTACTCATTGCAAAATAAAAGTAAAATGAAAACAACAACATGATCTTCTCATGCCGCTATTCCTAAACAAGAAAGATTAATAAAAAACTACTCACAAAGCACGAAGAAAACACAACAAAAAAACTTCATTACATCAAAAAAAATCCACTAGATAAGTGTTTACAAAATCATAAGATAATAAAGAACACAATACTTAGCTTTCTCCCCTTGAAAAAGGATGAAAATCTCTCCCACAAAGTCTTCCGCTAATCCATGCATTGCTAGTACAATTCCTTACAAATTTTCTCAAAATCCCCTCTCTAATCTCTCCAGAAAAGAAATAAATCTACATTTTTACTCCTACTTTATGATCCCATAGCATTCATCTCAATTTTCCTTTCATACACACGCCTACATATCATCCATGAGAGGCGTCATCTCCTCTATTTTAAAGAGACACAAATATCCCCCTTTTTCCCAAAAGAGACATATTTTTATTCTAATAGACAAATTTCTTCACCTAAGAGACATATCTCTTCATTTAAGAGCCTTTTCCAAGTGTCTAGATTCTTTGAACCACTTTGTGGGTCATTTCATTCACGTAGAACCTTCTAAAATATCTTAAAATAGTCAAAAACCACAAATAATTGTTAAAACCCGTCTCTGGCGACTCCGACACCGGTTTCTGGTGCATGTTCTCTAGATTTTAGCGATTCTAGTGCCTTTGGTGCCTGTTCTCTGGATTCCGATACCTCTAGCGCCAATTCTGGCGCCACTGGCGCCACCCTGTAGCAGCTCCACCGTTTTGCTCTGTTTCTGCTTCGTTTCATCCCGTTTTAGTTGCATTTCGCTCCTAATAAATATATCTACAAGATAAGCATGAAAACAACCTTTCTTTAAAGTTTAATTTCTATTGGCACCAAATTTTAGATGTTGTGAGGTTAGGATGTCTTGCGCCACTAGAATCAACACATGCATCAAGCAAGGTTTCATAGTGTTTTCGTTCATTTTTCTCATTTTTATTTTAAAAGGAGTCGCCATTTTGTTTCTGTTTAGTTTTTTCTTTTGTTTGTTATTTTGTCGTTTGTCCCTTCTTATTCGCTTTCTCTCCTCTTCGAATCACTGATTTGATTCATGAGGGAGATTTATTCGAACGAGGGAAGTATACGACGATCGACAAGCTGACGACTCCTTTTAAAATAAGAAAAGACAAAAATGAACAAAAACAATTTTATTCAAAAACATGTGAGAAATGTAAAGGATAATAAGCATAGAAATACATATAAAAATGTACGAGGTCAGAATTTTTTTTCTTGCTCGTTTTTACTCCAAATTGCACCATTTTTAATTCCTTTTCTCCAAAAGTCCATTTCTTATACCTGAAGCCAAAAATATACAAAATATCTTTCTTTAAAGAGTG